TAGTACATATAATTATAATCTGCGAAAAAGGCTTGCCAAGAGGAAAGGAACTCCAATGAGGCCGAAAAAAATGTTGAAGGCGTATATTTTTGCACTGTTCAATGAGAATTCAAAGCCGGGTCAATCATCAGAGAAGAATTTCGGACTCTTCAAAGCTGATGGTAGTATTTCTTATGATATTGGTTTCTCTGGGCTGCAAGATATATCAGCTGCATCTTCTCTTTTCTCTTTGAAGGTATGAGGATCTTTTTCACTTTTCGAATCAATGCTATGTGTGTAGGTCATCCTTCATATTCTGGATAAAGAGTGAATAGTTGTGAGCATAGTGTTTCCGTATAGTTCTGGATCATCTACGTAGCGCTGCCGCTCATAGCTTAGGAAAAAATGTTATCTTAAATGACTTTAAAAAGAAATGAAAAGAAGACACGTTGATTGGTCCCTTATACAAGAAATTCAACCTCATATTCCTACATAGAAACGTATACGGGTTCAATGTGTAGCAGGCTGTAAATATGCTGGAAACCTCATGTATTGAGTTGAGTTGCATGCTTGCTAAAATCAGAAGTGTAGGTGAAGTTTATGTTTTACACTTTATACTGCTCCTTTGCAAAAAGGTAAAGGAAGACTAACAAAGTCAGTGTTTTTAGGATTTCATAGGTTTCGTCTTAATGCACTGATATATACCTCTGTGGGAAAGTAATTCAATCAATCCTATGACTACCCGGTTCATTAAAAAGAGATTAATATTTACTAATGCATATTATAGGAAGGTCCACTTGGTTCAGACTTTTGTGAAAAAGGGTTACATTCGTTCAGAAATGTATATTAGCAGATATTTCAATCCTTTTCTCATTCCTGGCTTCTTAAGCGGTGATCTTTAATAATGAATATATAAGATGAACCTAAAAGGGGAGTGTGAAAGTATCATGAGAGTAGCATGAGAGATACCTCCCGTATTTTTTGGAGCGAAACAACATGAGGAATCCCCATTCATTCTTGGGTTACATGTTTCACCTTCTTAAAAAAAAAAGGAAAATGAGTCCTTTTATTTCAATGCATTAGGACATGCTTATAGAATTGGATATTTTTTTTCCTACCGCTTTAAGCCCCTTTTTCTCGTAGTAAAGAACAACGGGAAAGAGATTGAGAATATGTACCATGGTTGGGGGGGGGGGGTGTTAGATCCTTTGGCTTGTGCAGAAGGCTAGGATTATGTTTCTGTAATTAAGTATTTTAAAAACTTACGGTTCTACTACTTAGAAAGTTTATAGAGAGGAAAGAACAGAGGAAATAAAGAAAAGGAAAGCAGAGTGGAAGACAAATAAGTTTGTAAAATTGAAGCTTTTGGTTTAAAGTTTCTCTATTCAGATCTGGTACTGATCAGTGATGTATCATGCCAATTTTTTACATGGACAGCGTACTGTTCTAGACGTCTTCAAAAAAAACTGCTGGTGCTTGAGTTGGAAAAATGGTGTTAAAGAACGTTTGGAAATACTGGTTAATACTTATTGAGTGGATTAACAGCATGAAAACAAAGAACTTTTATATGTTTTGAGAATAACACTCGAGTCTAAGGAAATTAGGCATGGTGATTTTTAATCGGGACTTCCAAAAAGATTTACTAGCTTTTATTTTTCCTTCGGAGGCATTGTAGAAGTGGTGATAAGCTGACATGAAGAACTTAGGCTGGGGTGACCTTGTTGAATAATATGCATCCATGTACTTCCTAAAGAGATGGGTTAATAGATTTGCAGAGGAAGTAGAAGTATGATGGATCTGCTGCTTTATTTTGTTAGTAAATGTCCTCATAAGTCATAAGTGTTTATCAATCTAACAAACAACTGAAATAAGTTCTTGTTGGCTCGTCACATCTCATCTTCCTGTTCCTCCGCTGTCGAATCCTGTTAGAGTCTTAGAGAAATACACTTGTCCCCCATCGGTTGTGTATCCAAATGGGGCCACTCAACCTTGCCTTAATTTTGCGTTCGGATGCTCCGTTTCTTTCACAAATCTAGGTGATGAAAGGGCCTTCAATCCCATGGTATGTATTAGGGAAGCTCTTGCATTAGCTACGCAACCAATTATAACTTAACTTTACCTCCTTTTTATTTTGAAGTGCTAATCATTTGGAAGAATCTATTTTTCTTCCTTCCCTCTTATTTCTCGCTCTTGCTCCTTGATCTGGGGCTTTCACTTTGTTGAGGTTTGTTGATTTTGTGTACATGTTGTTTCTTTTTCGTGTGCACCTCTAGAATATGTTGGAGCACTTAGAATAAACTTCTAGGAACATATATCAGTTGTGAATGCTGCTTTTCTAGCAGCTCTGCTATTGTAGCTCACTGACTATCAAACTGTCAAGGTGAATAGTTACTTTTCCTAGAACTAGCATGTTTCATGAAAGAGAGTTTTTGTTTGTCTTTTCAATCAAATGTGTTTTCTCTCTCAAAGGAAAATACGCTTTGTTTGTCGATATGTTCTATGATCCTTCTGTTCATATATGAGGATTTCACTTAATAGTAGATTTGACCTGGTTTGGAGTTGATTGAGACCAAAAATAATGTAGGAAACCTTTTTAGTTTTTCATTGTAGTGCCCATATATGCTAACGTAGTTGGCATTCTTTTTTCATTTTGATGAATCTTAGTATAGTATGCGGATGTGGATCCAAGTCAATTGCTCTTGTCCCTAGTTTGCTTCATAAAAAAAAAGAAGGGTAGGCGGATGTAGATCTGAGTTCATTGCTGCTCTTGTCCCTGATTTGTTCCTTTTCTATTTATGTTCCTCTCTTTCTTGGTTCTTTTTTTTTTCCTCATTCTTTTGCCACCCAATACATGCTATTATACGACCTTTCTGGCTACTATTGCACCTTAGTAGATGATATCTCATTCTTCTTTAAGGCACTTTTTTCAGATTTCTGAGACTTGATAAAGGATACTTGAGCATATCTCAACTATCCTAGTTAACAAGTAATGTTGAAACATGTACTGATTGGGTCGCATTCGTAGAAAACCGGCTTTTTGTAAGGTTTCCTATTTTTTAGTATACTTCTTGTGTAAGGGCATCTTTTGCCCTTTACTTTTAATGAAATTTATTACTTTATAAAATAAAAAAAGGTAATGTTGAAACGATATAGTGGGCATGTTCATTCAGTGTTCTATTCTGCTGTCTACTACAGATTTTATGTCGCATATCATTATGGACTTATCCATTTTACTTGCATACAATGTTTCAGGAAATTAAATCTCGAGCGTATTATTTGTCAGCGACAGCAATCACAACTTCAATGTCGGTTTTGCTATCGAGGTTGTGACAACATTTTTGAACTCATCTTATACTAAATACCAGATTAGCATCTTGAATATTTCCTAGTAGAAACTGCTACATCAACAACATTAGGAATGCAGTCATATATCTTCATCGCGATCATGAAGGTTGCTGATTGTTTTTGAATTTTTCAGCAATGTACATCAGTATATATGAAATAAATTTATTCTTGGTTTATCATGTCTTGATCTTGTAGTTGCCTAAATCTCACCAAAATATCATCTTTCAAGGCTTTAGTATTCTTGTTATATGTAGTTTTACCATATGAAGCGGAGCCTTAGCGTAACTGGTAAAGTTGTTGCCAAGGTCACTGGTACGAGCCGTGGAAACAGCCTCTGCAGAAATACAGGATAAGGCTGTGTTATAGACCCTTGTGGCCTGACCTTTCCCTGGACCTTGCGCGTAGCGGAAGCTTAGTGCACCGGGTTGCCCTTTTAGGTAGTAAATGGAAGTTCTAGCAAGCTCAAGGAGAGATAATCCTTGTTGATTGGAGCACTTCATGCAGGACATGCCATTAAGATATCATAGTAAGGCAAAAAAAAGTTAAAGGAGCAAACTCTTTTTCTTCTTTTTCTTTTGATAACCGAGAAATTCCCAAAAGCTAGTTGGCTTACGTTTCTAGGCTCAGACAGTAAGCTTGTTCCCCCTACCCTTCACTTAAATGTTAGGCTTTTCTTTGCTAGGAAACTTATGACGTACGCGTAACGCACATAATTTCTTTGCAATACATATCATGTGCTTTGCTCTTACCATTGAACTAAAGCCCTAGAGGCAAGCTCTCTATTTTTCTTCTTAGTCAGACAAAATTTGTCTAATTGTTAGGTTTGTTTTTCCAGCCAACCAAATTATGAGTAGACAATTGTGCCTATCATTGTAGAAACTTTGCTGTGGATGCATGGTGGCTATACTATATTTTGGTCATCAAAAATTAATGATACAGAAAGACCACGTAAGGTGTGAATGATTGCAAAGTCTCAATTAATAAGTCAATTACTTGATAAAATAGTAGATTGACTAGAACCTGTTAAAACCAAGAATTTAATAAATTGTGATCTAGAACTTTCGTATGACTTGCAAAATCTATAGAACTTTGAAAAGTTAACTTCTTAAGAATAAGACTAGACACGCATTGCACAAAATCGATTGTTTTGGAATTTTATCATTAAAAAAATGCTTTGATTTGAATTACATCAGCTCGAGGGATTCCCAAAAAATTGGAGTACTAGGTGATATAGTCGAAAAGGGTTTGAAAAATAAATTGAGTACAAAACGTATCTTCAAACCTTATACATTATACGGAAAATGGTTCAAAATGACTCTAAACTATTGGAAAAGGTTTAAAAATGTCTTTCATCTACCTTTTGGGTTTAAAATACGCCTCTATCCACCTTTTTGGTTTACTTATGCCCTTTGACCGTAAGGTCAATGCTAAATTAAAAATAATTACTTAAAACATATTTTTCAAAATATTTTTATTTTTTTAAACTAATGCACCAGTAGTCCCCACTAATTTAGTAAAGTCTTCTTCTTCTTTTTTTCAGTCTTTCAAAAAAATATTTTTTTTAAAGCATTTCTTTTTTGTAAAAACAGAAAAAAAATTGTTTTTAACAAAAATATTTTCGTTTTTTTAAAAACTGAAAAAATTATTTTCAACAAAATATTTTCGTTTTTGAATTTTTTTTTTTTCATTTTTTCAGTTTTTTTAAATTTCGGTTTTTAAAAAACAAAAATATTTTGTTAAAAAACGAAAATATTTTTTTTCAGTTTTTACAAATTTGTTTTTTTAATTTTTACAAAAAAAAATGGTTTAAAAAAACTGAAAAAAAAATATTTTTCAAAAACGAAAATATTTTAATAAAAACATTTTTTTTAGTTTTTACAAAAACAATGCTTTAAAAAAACTGAAAAAACATATTTTTTTGTAAAAACTAAAAAAAAGAAGAAGAAGACTTTACTAAATTAGTGGACTACTGGTGCGTTAGTTTAAAAAAAAAATATTTTTTTTAAATAATTATTTTTAATTTAACATTGACCTAACGGTCAAAAGGCATAAGTGAACCAAAAAGGTGGATGGAGGGGTATTTTTAGCCCTTTTCCGTACATTATATTACCTCAAGCTCTTTACGAGTCAGTTATAACGCCTAATAATTTGCAATTATTTCATATTGTATTTGTTAAACTAGTTTAGATGCAGATGTTTGTTGTTCTTGTCATTGCAATTGTAGTAACTTATAAGATAGTAGTATTGTTCTAAGAATTGATTTTGATTTAATAATCAGACTTAAAACTTATTATATAGTATGTAAGGGTAATTTTTCATTCTATAACTCAGATGATTTGCCTAAATTGTAGGGTTATCATATGATCAAACCTCTAAAGAAAGTGGAAATGGTATTAGATTCAGAAACTATCTAGAGAATCAAATCTGCTGCAGTTGTAACAAATAGAGAATACCTTGATTCTCTTATTTTATTCTTCTAAAAATTCCACCATTAACTACCTTGTAGACCTATATACTGAAAGTTAACCTTTGAAGTGGCGGCATTTTCCAATCAGAATAAGGTAAGCGCAAATGAAATGGGTGAAAATCATGAGCGGTTAAAGTGAATTTTAATAGAGACAAAAACGTTCGATGATTTTTTCTTAATCTACTTAAGTCTTATCAGCAGAATTAGTTGGTATATGTTCTAATGGGAAGGAAGGGGAACTTTGCGACAATGATAAAGTTGTCTCCATGTGACCTATAGGTTACAGGTTCGAGCCGTAGAAGCAGCCACTAATGCTTGTATTAGAGACTTAGAGTTGGCTATCTACATTACACCCTTTGGGTAGCGGCCCTTCCCGACCCTACAAGAATGCGGGATGCTTTATGCACCAACCTGCCGTATGTTCTAATGGGAAGGATGGGGAACCTTGCGTTAATGGTAAAGTTGTCTCCATGTAACTTATGAGTTACGGGTTCGAACCGTAAAAGCAGCTATTAATGCTTGCATTAATGTAGACTATCTACATCATACCCTTCGATTACGGCTCTTTTCGGATCCTACAAGAATGCGTGATTCTTTATGCACCGGGCTGCCTTATATTCTGATGGAAAGTAAAAAAATATTCGATAAAAGTTGAGGTGTGTTCAAATTGTACAACCATGGAAAAAAAGGATAAAGAGGTAAGGAATTGGAACTTTTCATAGTACACTTTTGTGGACCAAAAGTTGTTTTTCAAGGACAAGATAAGATGCCCATTTTGATTCCGTCTCTTTGATTATTCTTCTTCTAATTATACAACGTTTTTTCTGCAAGTGAATTTCGTCATGATTAGGATTTAGGTGTAACAGAAAACAGGTCAAGTTTTGATGATATACACAAGCCACCAGGCCATGTTTGATTGGTTAAGTGGTAATTTTAGATTAGCTAGATGGCACAATTTGTATTGTGTCATTGTGATACTTCAAACATTGAGGTACGAAAACTATTGTTTGAAAAAGAAGTCGAGCCTCAATATCTTGAGATCTATTTAATTATCTAACCCCTCAACTCATTTTTCTACTATGAAAGGAAGACATGCAAGAATGTGAAAATTAAAGTATTTTGGACATCTCTATGCAATAGAATTTTTATGAATTTAAAGTATTAAATTTCAAGTGAACCGTATCTACTTTCTGTACTAATTAACTTTGTCCATTTCTTAACGAAGTTTCACATAGGATGAAAGGATATCTTTTTATTCTTTAATAAGTTAATAAAAAGAAAAGATCAAAGACGACTTGGACTTGGACATTTCAAAGTCGTTGGTTACGCTTCAACCAACTTGCATCGTAACAAGTGTCTGGTCTCTTGACCATTCCATTTTGATTAATTCGTGCATATACACTTCATTAGAGATAGTAAAATTTACTCGCACTCACTGGTGTACGCATGATTTTACATAAGCGATATCATAATTTAAAATATAAACAAATGAATAAATTACTATAATAATTAGTGGTGTCATTTTCTATACGTATCCTCAATATTTTTATTTTATTTATAAATATTTAGTGAATAGTTTCGACCGAACAATGTCCCATGACACCGCACGGTATAAGGTGCATATACCCCTGCTCGCACCATAGCGTATGTGAAGACACATGTTTGAGAAATGGTCCAAACTTTCAAAGAGGTTCCGGGTTTGAGTTCTTTAAGAATGACAAAAATCATTAGTATGAAGTGAATTTCCCTTGAATGAGACTTATGCAATACGAAATTTGGATTAGTTGGGCAAGTGAATTTTGCATATAGATAATTATACCCCAAAAAAGACATATGTTATATATTTATTGTAGTTATTATAAACACTGATATTTAATTTTTATTTTGATTTATTGGTGCAGATAGACTTTAATCCAGAGAAGTACTATATTCGTTTTAGGAAGTTAGGAATTTGGCAGAATTATTGAAACTGTTCCAACATCCAATAAGGAGCAGTTCAACTCCCAAAAATGCCACTTGTCTGGACCAAATCTTTCTAATTCCACTACCTCCTTTCATTTAGCTCATGATATTTTTTTTTGGCCTAAGTCAAACTTTATCAACATATTCAACTGAAACATCCTAGATACTTCCATAGACTAATTTAGCTCTATAAATACAACCTAGTATTGTACAAATGTTAAAACAGAAACTCTGAAACTTAGCAGCCCTTTTTTGTTATATACATCAGCTACAAAAGAGGAAACTTGTTTATTATATTATAACAAGAAATATCCAACTGGGGCTACCTGAAAACACAAAAAATATGGTTACAAGGATGAATATTGCAAGAATTGCACTAGTATTAGTGGCAATTTTAGTGGCGTTGCCGGGAAAAATAACAGCAGTTGATCATGTGGTTGGCGATAGTAATGGTTGGGGAATTCCTTCAGGCGGCCCTTCAACTTATACTAATTGGGCATCACAACGTACCTTCAAAGTTGGCGATACTTTAGGTATGTATTATTACGTATTCGACACCTCTTTCTCTTACACGATTAGTGCATTATTTGAGATAGTTGAAAAGGGGTGTAGCGCTAGAAAATTTTGGATCAATAATAATTCTCCACAAGTCATTAGTACTTTAGTAGAACGTTTATACAGTTACTGCTATACCTTAAACGTCAATTATTAGTGATATAAACCAACATGTCTGCATCCCGAAATAAGTAG